TGGCTTTGTTTACTATCCCAGAGCTATCTAGTTTTTAGTTTAGATTAAAAGTTCCTTGGGGCAAAGAACTGCCATTTTGAGCAGCTTGTAAATGATGAAGCATTAGACCTTAGAGCACACAAGATTTGGCTCCAATTTCAGATTTTGTGCTCTTGTTCTTACCACCTAGATGTTTAGCTGTCATTCTTTTTAATAAACCTTAGCAACAAAAGGAAGGTCTAAAAATAATATTTCTAGAAAAAGTGAAATCCTGAACGTTGAGGTTTCTTTAGTTACAAAACTATTGTAACACAGACACCGACAGCAGAGGATTTCATAAAATGTTGGAGTGGATTATAGGTCTTCTGTGGTAAGGAATACAAGGCAGGTCAAAAGCAACTTAAAACTATAATCACGTGACAGATGTTGGATAATCCAAATTATTTCTGCTGTTGATACCCGATCAGTTGCCATCAGAGGATGGCCTGCCTTTCCTGCATCTTTCTACACTGCTGCCAAGGTGTTGTAAAGACAATGTTATGGATGCTGTCCATCCTGTGCAGGCACTGACCTCCAGAAATGAGGGTCTGTTGTGCTGGGCAGCGCTACTTCAGATGATAATTCTGTGCTGTGGTGTGATGTTATGTCTTTGGTGGACCTTCTCTTCTTGCCTTGTCAACCACCCTGTAATGAGGCATATACTATAAAAAGTAAGGAAAGAAAAGAAAGAATGAATTTAATTTTTCCATTGTGTTCTTAAAAGACATGTATTCTTTAACTAACTTAATTTGGTGCCTCTGTGAAAGGAATTAAATAAACATATGAGAGCACCAGTTGCCATAGACAACTGAAACAAAGATTGCAGATGGAGAGGAATGGCAGCAAGCATACACAGGTCAAAGAGTAAATGAGCATTGGGATCCATAGTCAACATTGTTAGATCAGTTTGCATATTTGTTCTGCATCACTCCCAGCCACTAAAATCCATCTATAAAATCTATTTTGCTGATGTTTAATGCAACTTCTTAATGCGAACTAATATTTTGGAGCACAGTTTCCAAAGCAAGTATGTAGCCTGAAGTCCAGACATCAGATTCCCTTACCAAAAATCATCGTGTTCTCATTCATAGTCCTCTGGCTGCCTTCTCTGTAGCTCTTACATGATGATGGAGTCTGAGTAAACATCAGTTGGAGGCCAGCTGTCAATGGCTGTGAGCGCTGTCCCCTCTGTCCTCTAAGCATCAGTGTTACAATCAGCACTCTTTAGTCCTGGAATCTTCACAGTGAACTACTCTCCTAGTGAAGGAAAAAAATGTTCTCTTAGTTGTCAGCATACTTAGTGTGCTACAGAATAATTTTTGTTTCTGATACAATGATATCACCCTGACTTTTTTTATGTTTTGGGTTGGCAATTCTGGAGAAGCTCAGAATTTTCATACATTGAAATTATCATAAAGCAGCTCACCCCTGGCATATCTACATTGTATGTAATTATACTTGTATACAGTAAACAACATCAGCAGTGCTTCTGTGCCTCAGTGAGACAGGCAGGTCTGGCAATTCGATGTTTGGGAGGATGTGGTTAGTTGGGGGATTTTTCACGTTTCTGTTCCACACATTCCAAAGGCGGCTGCAGAGCTGCCTCCCTCCCCACTCATCCTCCCTGGTGTCTGGGAGTGTTCACATCACAGTTTTGGTTTGACCTCCTTCTAGGCATGTGGACAGATCACAACATCCTGGTCTAAACATGGAGATCAGCTTCCTATAATCAGTTGTCTCAGGGTTTTATTGGGAGTGAGAGTGTGGTGGGTTGACCCTGGCTGGGGGCCAGGTGCCCACCAGAGCCGCTCTATCACTCCCCTCCTTCATTAGACAGGGGAGAAAAAGTGCAACGAAAAGCTTATGGGTCGAGATAAGGACAGGGAGACATCATTCACTAATTATTGTCATGAGCAAAACAGACTGAACTTAAAGAGGGAATTCATCTAATTTATTACTAGGCAAAACAGAGTAGAAGAATGAGAAATAAAATCAACTCTTAAAACACCTCCCCCCACCCCTCCCATCTTCCCAGGCTCAACTTCACTCCC